TATACAAATATGAAAGTTATTGAGTGTCTTGATATAGAAACAGAAGTTAATATCGGACATAGCACTCATGAAAGTGGCAAACCATAGACACGTGTTTCGGGCTTTTGGCCCATCATCAGTATGGTGCAGCCAAGTGTAAGGATGGGCAACACTTGGTTACCAAAAGATAGAAATATAGAAATACAAATGCACGGAGCCACAAATGTGCGGTTGGCTCCTGTTGGTGGCTCCGTGCATTTGTATTTCTATATTTCTATCTTTTGGTAACATGGTATGTACATGTACATGTACATGGTATGTTTCTTTTCTGCTACTCGAATAATTTCAGCATGATCCTGCTGCTGGATGAACGAAAAAATTCTGCGACAACATCTGTGAGGTATCTTCCATGAATGTCTGTCGGATATAATTCCATATCTAGCGTGGTATTAGCCGGGAAAGTAGTTGTTCATCGGCAGGCATTTAACAGAACTTGAAGGTAGTTGGAAGAGATGAATGTTTTGAAATGTCATTTCGAAATATTCATTTTCTTGTCAGTATGTATCCCTCCTCGATACAGCCTTAGGACACATTTTGAATTACGAATGGAACCAATAATGCAAATTATGATTACCGGAAGAGAACAGATATCATTTCTCAACAAGAATACTCCAGAAGAAAGCTAACTTGGATACGAGCACAAGTTATGTTATTCGTTTTAGGAATCACACTTCAAAAGGTAAGACCTCGTTAGTTCTTAGCTCGCACAAGTTTCTCAACTCCTGAGAGTTGTCGTTCGTATGGGGGCGACAGCTGATTAACGGAAAAACAGGCAGACAGACAGACAGAAAGAAAAATAATATGGTATTGTATTTAATAGGTGGCATTGCATTTCCAAACATTGTAAAACGCAATTAGTAGGATACTGAGGGATATAACTATGAGAATGGACCATCCAACATGTTCATTGAATATGTTGTTTATGTTTAAAATATGTTTTTTTTTTCGTTAACCAACTATTGCACCCCTACGAACGACAACCCTCAGAAGTAGAAACTTGTGCTAGCTAAGAACTAATGAGGCCTTACATCTCAACGTATGATTCCTAACACGGGTTGGACGATAGCGAGTGAAAATCGAGCGTTCAGCCTGGGGCTTGTACCATCGACTCACACATCGGTCGATTGACTGAGTGAACAAAGCACCCACGTCGCCCGGCTACCGACCGACCATAATGTTTTGTCACATGATGAAATCGAATCAGTCAAGAGATTTCGGAGAAACACCTGAAAATTCCTTCAGTAAGTGGCGAACATGAATTGATTCAACATAGAAAGGAAATCAATTGATTGAGAAAGATGTTAAATATCATCTAACATTGTATATATTTCCAACATACTCTTCTGTGAAACATGAATATCTCCTATCACAATATATAATTGACAACATGGAAGTATATAAACTGAAGAAAGTTTTGTTGAAAACAGTTTTGTACCGTCCTTCAAATGGCCTCCATCTACACTGATGGATTCAAATAAATCAATAAGCTAAAAATTTCCACTGACAAATGCTGAAATGTTAGAGAGACCCTCTGGTAAAATGATCGAATCATATCACTAAATTAAAACCCAAGATATACTGTAGGGTTCATCTCACAAATAATGGAAATAAAAAGTTGAACTTGCGTGCTAAAATAGAAATGCTCAACAATAGAAATTATTTGAAGTATCGCATATGGACTATAAACTTATTGAGAAGTGGGAAATTGGGCAGAATGGTTTCATTCCATCACTCAATTTAGAGAAAAAACAATTTTGTGTGATTTCAATGGAAAGGAAAATATAGCGAGATCGAACATTTTGTCTTCGTCAAAAAGCCAGAGAATGTGTAGAGACCAAATTGCAGACCTAAATGTTCACAGACATTTTAATTGTTAGTTCAAATACTCAAAAAACAATCTATATAATACTGTGTTTTTGTAGTGAATGACAACTGCTCAGTCATAGTTTTTATTTAATTTGCTATTTTAGCACATTCCATTTCGAGATTCGGAGTTAACTATGCAACCAAATGCGATAACAATTGCGAATTCATCAAATATTGTTCACATTGCAAACAGTGACAGCTAAATTTTATAGGCAGTCTCAAAAATCTCGAATATATTTAGACCTATCTTCTTTAGCGTTTGGAGTTTTTTGATTTCCAGTAATTGAGTCATTCACAATCATTTCTGGTCTCCCAAAACATCTCTCCAAAATTGAAATTATTTCATCTGCTTCTGAAGTGAAATTTAAAAGAGATTCTACATTCCCCCTGGCATTTCCACGGAAACAACTGTTCAATGTCGCTATATTTTTTTTTATTGATATCATATAAACTTGTTGTTTCCCTCAATTGAGTAATGGAATGTTACCATTCTGCCCGAATTTCCGGAAAATATAGATTTGTCTTCACTTAGAGACTGTCCAGCCAAAAAGTTTCCACTTTATTTTCATCCATTGCCTCCACAAATACTCTCGACTTCGCTTTTTCATCCCAACAACCTGAAAGAAAAGCAAATTTCTCAGAGCGAGCATCCGAATTAGAGAGCTCTTCTGTTGGTATTTCATTAACCCAATCTTGAACATGAGCTATACTTGCATTATCAGTTATTTCCAGACTTCCAATGTTTTCTGAATCTGAATAACCCATTCCTGCTCTTTCTTCAACTCTTATTCTTACCGCTTCACCTCTAGTTCCGCTTTTTTCAGTTCCAGAATAACTTTCAATTCTTTTGTTCTTTGGATTTCGATGTCTTAAGAGATTTTCTGTTTTCTACTTCTTTTTCTTTTTCAGTGGTAGGTTTGAAAATTTTTAAAGAAACTGCCTCGTTCCCTTTCGTTTTGCATGCACTATCCATGTTTTCTTCATGTTTTTTAGTCAGCCGATCACTTCGTCGAACGGGAACGGACATTTTTCCAGGGACTATTCTCTTTTACACGAAGGACCAAATTTGTGGCGATTGAAAACAAAAAAGATAACAGAGATGACATCTGAAGGAATTGAGTGACTGTTCATTTTTCATGAAATACCACACGTGGGTGGAAAGTGGGAGCATTTGGTGCGGTCAATAAAAACAGTGATCCTCCACATGAAGAGGTCCTATTGATATCATTGGTAGAAGCGGAGCATATCAATAAGCTGCATATTCAGTTCGTTTTCTGAAGGTCATTCAGTCACCCGAAAGCAATGGAAAATTTATAAACAACTTGCCGAATATTTTTGGCAGAGATGGGTGAGGGAGTATTTACCAACGTTAAAATGGAGAACTAAATGGTTCCAGAGAAACCATCGGAATATCAAGGTTGGCGATATAGTTGTTTCAGTTGACGGCAACCTATCACGAAATCACTGGCCCAAAGGACGGATTGTTGAGTTATTCCCAGGAGCAGTTGATTGTCGAATAAAAAACTATAACTTGAGCGGTTTGTCAGTCACCACACCACTACTTTTGTGAGTATATAGACTCACAATAAATACAATGTCTGTGAGCATTTGAGTTCACAATTTCGTATTTCGATTGAAACTGAATAGACCTTGGAAGAATGTCCATTTCTCTTCGATGAAGTGATCCGGCTCGAAGGACCCAATTGTGAATCCAAATGTTTACAGACATTGTAATGTAGGCCCAAATATTCACGTTGTTGTGTTTTCATCATATACAACCGATATTCAATATAACATTTTATTTTTTTTTTTTTTGGTGACTGACAACCGCTCAAGTTATAGTAAATGTCATAGGAAAACATTAAAGTAATAATAAATATTCTTTCGCGAAAGAACTTTCGGAATGCCACTGCAACCCGGTTTTTGTTGTATTCAATAATGAATGACTGTTTCATACATAGATTTTGGGAAATGAAACATTCCTTTTATATTATCGTTTTGCATAGCAATTTAATGTAGTTATTTTCGAAGTTCATTTGAAAGATTCATATATCATTACACGTTTCTCCATTCTATTTCATTTTCATTTCAGCTAAGTTTGTTGGTCAAGCCGACCCGAGCATTGCCAAATTCAGCTGTTAGTCAGAAACAGATAAATCCATAGTAACAAATTCAGTATTTGAAATATGTAATACCAAAACCCAAATTTTTGATAATTTCAGAAAAGAAGTACTGAAAGAAATGGATGATATTTCTGAGAGCATGGGCTTACCAGAATGGAGACTGTCACTTTTGTTGTTACTTTCATGGGTGTTAATATTTTTTGTATCAATAAGAGGAGTGAAGAGTTCTGGAAAAGCGTCATATTTCTTGGCGTTGTTCCCATATGTTATCATGATTACATTACTCATACGAGCTGCAACACTAGAGGGAGCTGTTGATGGAATGCTGTACTTCATCGAAACTGATTTCAGCAAACTCCTTGAGGCAGAGGTATGATAATATATGATTTTTTCATAGTATTGATATTCTTCATTTCCATAACCATTTTCTGTTACATATAAACTCAATGAGTGAAATGAAAAATCTTCACAATCATAACGAAGAAAGTGTTAATATATCAATTATTATTATGAAAATTTCATTGTATACCAACAATGACAAAGTAATGACTTCCTTGAAATATATTTTTGGATCTATTTTCTTCCAGAGATCATTTGAAACATATTTCCACTTCTTTTTCTCCGTTTGCAAATAGTCAGAGACGAGAAATCCCAATGAAAATAACCAACCTTGGTCGAACCAAACCTGAATTTAATGAAAGAAAAAGAATTTGGCTTTGTATTTCTTCATCTTTTCATAAAAATGTGGGAATCTTTCAAAAGAAGAAAGGAAGCAATCAATTTTGAAACGAACTCTTCACAAAGGTGTGTAGATCATGCAAAGAAGTATAGTCTATCCATTCCCAATTGGAACGGCAATAAAAATAAGAGTACAGTCATGAACATTTCTTGCCTGTGGCCCCTAGTAGCCCAGATAGTTAGTAAACGGGCTATCAAATGTAGTTGAAGAAAAAAGGCTCGGCTAGCTGGACTGGCTGATTACAAATTTTTTCATCCGTTTCACAATATTTCTTTATCAGTGCCTTATGTTCGTGGAGTTAGGTGAGGTAGTGAGTGGTTTTGCAAACCGATTTTTGAAAACTTTTTCTAGAGATCAATTACCCTAATATTAAACTGATATTTTTGCACTCGACGCGCCTTCCGCTAACAAGGTTAGCATCTTCAGGAGAAGCAAATTTAAGTGACTTGTCACTTGGAAAAGCTAATGTCTTAGCGAAACATTTTATGATATATTTTTCAAATAAAGATTGTGGAGATCAAATCGTTGAGGTGTAGTTTTTGAAATTGTAAATATATGTTTGACGAGAATTCGGTGTGATCATTTGTGTTTTCATTGTATTTTAGAGTTTTCGACTACCTTAAATTCCGAGGTTTTTCATAATTACCCATGGTGGAAAAATTCAGTTGAGATAACTTTTTCATGTGGTGATCAATTGATATTATTTTAAGAATAAGTAACTGAAAAACTATCATTAAAAAATAATATGCCGACGCCTATGTCGAGGCGGGAATTCCTTCTCTGTGCTGTTCCAATTGGTATTGGAAATACCATAACTTTCAGACAATAACCTGAAGGAGAAAATCTTTCGGAACAACTACTTTCAAATAAACATTGGATTACAGAAAAGGAAAAACACGTTCAAAACAACAACTTTTATTTGAACATACATCTTTGTGAAGAGTTAATCCTTTTGAAATTAGTTGCTTCCTTCTTTTCTTAGGACGATTCCCACATTTTTTTTTAATAGAGATGGAGAAGTAGAAAGCCAAAATCTTTCGTTACCAAAAATTGATCTCTCCTGTGAATATGTATGTATACTCAACATTGCTATTGCCTTGTCGTCAATGCCATATACATTTCAAAATCTCTTTTGTTTCAGGTATGGTACGCAGCTGTTACACAATGTTTCTTCTCTTTAAACGTAGGATTTGGAACCATCATTATGTTTTCTTCATATAATAAAATCGATCACAATATAAATAGGTAAGATATCAAAGTATAATGGATCGAATGAATGAGATTTCAGGTATGGTATTTCAAAAATATGCATACTACATTTTGCTTGAGAGCAAATAACTTGTTAACCAAATCTCTCATGGATTTTCGAGGTGGACACAATAATTTTTACTGAATTGTTACACGTACTTATGAAACGAAGGGCGATGAAAAATCACAAGACCATGATTTGATATTGAAATTTCCATGAACTATAGTGACAAATTGAACAAGAAGGAAAGCTGATTTTTTTATCAATGTGCCATTTCTGAGTGTCCTGTCATTCCTATAGATATTAAAATCTCCTTTCCACTCGAATATTACTGGAGTTTCATCCCAACACCAAATCGTCATTTCAACAACTCGATACGTATTTTGATCACCAAGTGATCATTTTCAACAGGAAACTTTGTTTATTCTTCCTTTTGAAGACTTTGAAGAGCGAGCCAGTATTATCGACCAATGACCACTCCACACACTGTGGGATAAGTGATCATTGGGTCTGATAATCATGTGCCCTGAGCAAACGCATTGAGCCAAGAATGGCAGCCTTCTGCCAACTGTCCAACTAAGATGTCTGCCTTAGTGCGGTCGTTATGATTTTAAGATTAGAGAGTAGAGAGGCCATCATTCCATCAAGGACTCCAATAATCAGAACAATCATCTCGACAAAGTGATCTGGATAGAGTCTACGGAGTTCGAAGAGAAAAACTGAATATTTTATTCGTTTTTCCTCCTCTTTCCGAACTACATTCGTCTCGCCAGGACATGACATGACAAATATCATCTTGCTTTGGTGGTCGAAAAGGACTACATCAGGCTCATAAGCTTGTTTGTATGAGCCTGAGTGTGGGAAACGAATAGTTCCAATAAATTCGGCACTTCTCATTCCCCACAATGGATTCAATATTCCCCGGGGCGTAAGCAACACCGGTGTCTCTTCAATACCGTACAAGTGCCGTAGATGGTAATATAGCACTCTTGGGGCCGCGTTATGTCGATGGCTATAGGCCAGGATCGCATATGCTGGACATGCTGATAGCAAGTGCATTAGGGTCTCGGAAGCCTCGTGGCAGTCCCTGCACCTTGTATCAGGAACCTCTATACCCATCACGCGACTGCGGTAGACTAAGGTGTTGAAGACACCATCCTGGCAAGTCTGGCACCCCTCAATTTCCGACTTCAGCCCACTCGACCTGAGAAAAGCGAAAGTCAGGCGCTGTGATGAGACAAGGTCTCCCATATTATGGAAAAAGATTCCATGCATGACTTATCTTTGTGTTTTCGTAGGAGTGAGGTGATGTCTGCGGCTTTTATATGAGCTTTTTGCTGAACGGGTTCCAACTCGGTGACAGAGTTGTGGCCCCTCGTTCAGTATCGAAATCTAAACCGAGTTTATCAGCTGCTCGGGCAGCTGCCTTAAAGAGAAATGCTCCAATTCCTGCTCTATTATGGTCACAGACCATGCAGAAAAAGGAATCCGAACTCCTGATAACTTTACAGGCTATACCCAGTACCATTCTGTCATGTAGACACTCCAAACTCGAAAGTACACGACCTCCCTATTGTTGGGGGAAGTACAACCGTAGAACGGACGATTTGGAATGCAAACTTTTATAGAAATGCATAATTTTTTGGGTCTTCACGTCGAGTTGATACAGGTCCTCCTGAGTCCACTTCATTACTCCAAACGAGTTCAGTAAGATTGGAGCGGAAGCATATTTGTTGCAGCAACTTTGTTCTATCTGGACAGTTCCGATGACCACATCTGTAGAAGTTTGTGCTGATACTTGCCGCGGAGAGATTCTTCACTGATGTTACCTCTTGTGAGTGGCGTTGTTTCACATCGGGGTAAGTATACGTCTTTCCGACATCCAAATGGTGTAGAATACATCTACGAGCTGCACATCCTCTCCATCCCCGCATCGTCCCTTTTTGAAGTGGACTATTACACATTTGTCTATCCCGAATTCCACCACCCTCAAGGAATGATGAAGATCGTTCTCTCTAGAGGCATAAAGTTCAAGATCATATTATTATTTATATTATTATCATTACTATTATTTAATTGTGACTGAAGTTTGTTGATTGACGAAGTGTTTCCAGTCGGATTATTACACTCTTTCAACAAAAAAAACATCATGTTCAGCAACCTGCAAAAGCATGATCATGATGAGGATCTGAAGAAAGAATACAAAAACTACAGAAACAAGCTCACATCATTGATCAAAATAGCTAAATTCAAGTGAATCATAAAAAACAAATCGACAAAAATCAAAATAATTCAAGATATCTAAGACAAAAAACACAATTGTTATAGATAAAATACACAAACAATGAAATCTCAACCGATAAAACGCTAATTGCAAATACATTCAATATAGCATTTGTAGAAATGGGTAAAGTTCTTGCTAGGAAGATTCCGAATAACAAAAATGTTGAAATCCAAAAAACATCGATTCTAAATTCTTTCCACTTTGAACCAATTGACCCGAAGGAACTTAAAAATACAATTTTCGAGCTTAAAAATAATAAGGCAGTGGGTTGTGATGATTTGAAAGCAGAAAATATGAAATCAATATCAGATTACATTCTCGATCCACATACTCATATTCTCAACCGATGTGTGGAGGAAGGTGTTTATCCCTGTGATTTCAAAAAAACAATTGTTACTCCACTGTTTAAGAAAGGGGACACATCTATTATCATAAATTATCGTCCTATCTCGTTAGTCACTCATCTCTCGAAGATTTTTGAAAAGATTATCAAAAAAAAAGGCTTATCTCTTTCTTTGATAAATACAATCTGATTTCCAACAATCAATTCGGATTCAGAGAGAAAATGTCAACCCAAGATGCTATGCTCACTCTGACTTCAAAAGTAACTGAGACCTTGAATGAAAGCAAAACCAGTATGTGTCTTCATTGACCTTTCGAAAGCATTTGACACTGTCAGTCACCATCTACTCCTTCAGTCTTTAAAAGATATCGGAATACGGGGTAACAGGAAGGAGCCAAGCAGTAAGAATCGATAATATATTGAGCAGTGATGAGGTGATCGACTGGGTAGTACATCAAGGTTCAGTGCTGGGAAGAATTTTCGCATTAGACAACGGAAACATAGTCGGATTCGCAGATGACACCGCTATCTTTTACAAAGCAGATAACTGGAATTCCTTGAAGATAAAACCTTGAAAATAAAAATTTCTCATAAAATATTGGCTGGATAAGAAACTACTGACGGTGAATATTGACAAAACGCATTACCTACCATTCTCTTGCAATGCAGCTGGAGCACCCTCGTTCGATCAATTAACAATAAAAGCTGATACACCTTTCCATTCTATCAAAATTAAGGAAACTTAAAGAACTCCTACCTCTAAAATATCTCAAAACTTTATACTACTCGCTCGTGGAAAGTCATATCCTCTATGGAATAGTAGTTTGGGGAGGAGCATTAAATAGTCATATTCCTCAAATTGAAATTATGCAAAGGCGTTTTCTTGAATTAATATTCTCTAAAAATGGTAGGTATCCCTATGATAAATCGAATCTCGAATCTCATCGAATCTCGTCTGTTAGACATACGACAGTTGTATTTTTTATGATCTAGCACTAAATATCATACAAATAGACATTCGGCATCGCTTCCTTCACATCAGTAACACACCCGCCAAAGAGATCGGTATACTACACCCCTAATGGTCAGGGTCGTTACACAAGGATCATTTAAAAAGAGTTGAAAGAGCATATTCTTCAAAGTCAGAGACTTGAACTTCTACGTCAAAAACCATACGTACCTTTGCTATATTGTCCACTTACAATTCTGTAATACCTATGTGTTTATATATGTATGTATATATGTGTATATATGGGCACTATTGTTTTGTTATTATATATCACATGCATTTTCAACAACATCCATATCGATTTCAACATGTTTTTATATATTATTACTAGTACGCGTATTTTACAATTGTGATTTTATACTTGTCAATTTTTATAATTGTCAATTTAGTTTTATGTTTGTATGATTTCATATTTAAATAATATTATATGTCAAAACTGACAACTTTTTATATTCATAC